CGTAGATCGGAATCGGGTCTGTTCCGTCATTCTGAAAGATACCACCTACCAGAAAGGGATCCTTAAGAAGAAACAAGGAATCTTGCTTTTGTTCCCCGGCTTTGCCAGGTTCCACTCCAAACGCCGCCTTTGCATCCGCTTCCAAGCAAAGTCCGCAGCTTGTATCCGGCGACGCAGGCCAGAGGGGGGAAGAACCCGACGACCCAGACCTCGCACAGCCCCACAGCCCTAAGACCTATAGCCCGAAAAAACCAATATGGGGGCTTCCAAACTTAGGGGCACCTGATGGGGTCCTTCTTGTACAGAATCCTATTTGGGGGCCTATAAGGATCCCCTAATTTGCGTAAACCCCCGAAACCCTCAACCCGAAACCCTAAACCGTAAACCCTAAACCCTAAACCCTAAACCCTAAACCATCATAGAACCTTGAACCATCATCCCTCAGATCGTTTGCAGGACGGCCTCACAGTGCTGGGCCCCGACTTCCTCGTGCAATCTTCAGGTGGTACTGCCCTGCGCTCAGGATGGGGTGCCATTTAGGGTTTAGGGTTTAGGGTTTAGGGTCTAGGGTCTAGGGTTTAGGGTTAAGGGTTCTCAGCACCCCTTCAACAGCAGCCCAAGCGTTCATGAGGTTCGCGTGCAGTTCCTGGCAGATGGCCGCGAAGAGGTCGAGATCTGGAGTGCTTGTGCCAGGGAGTCTCAACAGAGACTAATATATATATATATATGTATGTATGTGTATATATATATATATTATTATGATTATTATTATGATTATGATTATTATTATTATACACAAGGTACAATATGCGTAGATCGCAGCGAGCATGGAGGGCATCCTGCAGGTGCTCCTCAGTCTGCCCGCAAACGGCAGCGAGAGCGTGGCTGCGCTGGCCGTCAGCCGCAGCCCGAGATGCCAAAGATGCCCGCTGGATGGGGTTTGTTTAGGGTTTAGGGTTTGGGGTTTAGGGTTTAGGGTTTAGGGGTTGGGGTTTAGGGTTTAGGGTTTAGGGTTTAGGGTTTAGGGTTTAGGGGTTAGGGGTTAGGGGTTAGGGTTTAGGGGTTGGGGGTTGTGGGTTAGGGTTTAGGGTTTGGGGTTTAGGGTTTAGGGTTTAGGGTGGGGTTTCGAGTTTTCTGGGTGTGATGTTGAGTCGATCCCGAGGTGAGTCTCTGGTGCTCATAGCGACAGGCTCGGCTTTGCCAGCATTACGGTAGAACCCTGAATGGGGGGTTTACGAAATGAGGGGGTACCTTAGTCCTTATTATAAGGGGATCGGTCCTACTATTTGGGGTCTATATCAGGGGTCCCTTATTATCGTAAACCCCCAAATGGGGGTTTACGAGAATAGAGTAGCCACGAATATAGTTCCCACATGGTAGGATTCCCTCATAGCAAGGACCCCAAGAAGGTACCCCCCTCTTGTCGGAAACCCCCTAACTGTGAAGCGCAGTGATCGCCAGATGGGTCTGTCAACGCCTCCACCGAGCTCTACGACGTCAGGGACCTGCGACGGGTGGCGCAGATGGAGCACCTCCCAGGACTCCAAGGGGGCATGTTTTTCTCACCTTCGGCCTTCGGTTGGGGGTTGTTAGTTGGGATGCGTCCCCGTTATACTAAGAGTCCCTTAATAGGGATGCTAACGGATCCCTATAAAGGACTGTTAGTATAAGGGGGAGCCTCCCAAGTTGTTAGAAATTAACTCATCCATGCCCCTCGCTTCCTCGTCCCGCCCGGTCTCCTGACCGGGTCCGTGTGCCCCAGAGAGGTCCGCAGAGAGGCCCACCTCAGCAGAGAGTTCCGCCATGCCCGGAGTGCCCATATTCCCAAGGCAAGAGAGTCCCGCGGAGTATCGCATCGACCTTTAGACCGTAAGACAGGGGATGATCGAACGATATTTTGTTTATGTGTGTGTGTGTGTGTGTTTGACCAGAGGGGGGGGGGCTGTATTGATGTATGTAATGCATGTTTCGGCCTCTTTGCTTTTATATCTTGTGTTTCTTGCAGTGTCTTCGGGTTGTGGGGGCCCATGGACCGTGTGGATGGCGGAGAAAGGTTGGCATGTTTCCCCCTTCATATTAACAGTCCTTAATAGGGATTATAGTACCCTCCTATTATAATTCTCTAAACCCTAAACCCTAAACCCTAAACCCTAAACCCTAAACCCTAAACCCTAAACCCTAAACCCTAAACCCTAAACCCTAAACCCTAAACCCTAAACCCTAAACCCTAAACCCTAAACCCCAAACCCTAAACCCTAAATCCCAAGAGAAAGGCATCACCGCGGCGGCGCTTTGCCATGGTCGCAGCCTGGGTCTCTGGGCTGCCCTCGGCACAGGGAACGAGGCGGTGGCCGGGAGGGTTTAGGGTTTAGGGTTTAGGGTTTAGGGTTTAGGGTTTAGGGTTTAGGGTCGGAGGTTGGGGGTTTCGGGGTTTAGGGTTGAGGGGTTTTTGGGGATTGTGAGTTGGTATGAGAAGGTGTGAGAGAGCTACTGACATCACTGTATCCACAGTAGCCATCACTGTATCCACAGTAGGAACCTGTGGGCTCCCGAAGCTTCTGTGAAAGGCTTTCCGGCTTGGTATCCCGAAAGATGCATTGCCACCCCCCTAAACCTTAAGCCCTGAGCCCGAAACCGAAACCCTAAACCCTACACCCTAAACCCTAAGCCCCAAATCCCAAACCCCAAACCCCAAACCCTAAACCCTAAACCCTAAACCCTAAACCCTAAACCCTAAACCCTAAACCCTAAACACTAACACTCTCACTGCCGAAGCCGGGCCGAAGCCCTGAAGCCGCCGAAAGCCTAAGGCCAACACGCGCATGCCTCGAGCCAGGTGTGGGTCTACACGCTCCAACCCAGAGCTGTCGATCTTGGCTTCAGTGAAGGATGGGGGCTCATGGGTGACATGCTTGAACAAGGTTTAGGGTTTAGGGTTTAGGGTGGGGTTTCGGGTTTAGGGTTTAGGGTTTAGGGTTCCGAGTTTAGGGTGGGTTAAGCCCCAAGCCCGAAACCCTACACTCCACCGTCGCGCCTCCCGAGAATGCGCTGCTGGCAGGCCCGGACAGCAACGCTACTTCTGACAGCGTGTCGCAACCTCAGCTCCTCTTGAAGTAAGATGGAGGCCGTATATTCATACAGGGACTCTGAGGGGCTTCTGTTAATAGTTATTTTGACCCTTATTTCCGGTTTTCGAGGACTTCTCACGGAGCGTTTGGGTTTGAGGTTTAAGGGTCGTGCTGTGTCGTGCTACCCATCAAGCCTCCGTACTGCGGCACAGTGGAACCAAAGCCTGCAAGGGCCAGCTACGATGCGTCGGTCTTGTCCATCTTCGAGGCATGGTAAGATCAGCGCGACTCAGAGAGTAACTCGTAATCAGAAGAGAGCGTGGTTGTCGAATGGTAGAGGCATGCTTGCATGGGTTTCAGGATGTCATGTGGGCGCATCTTGATCACGCATGGAATGGTGCGGGACAGGGGGCTGTTCCCACATGCTGAACCTGAGAAGGTCAAAGGGACTGCGAGCATAAGGCTCGGCAATGGCTGACCATGCATGCATCACACGCATGCAGACAGTGCAAGGGCATGGCAACTGTAAACTCTGAACCCAAAACCCTAAACCCCAAACCCTAAGCCCTAAACCCTAAACCCTAAACCCTAAACCCTATACCAAGAACTCTGCCTTTGAGGACGGCTGCCTGGCACGATGTGATGGGCTTCCTAGGCCCGGTCTACTCCCGAACTGGTTCGGGTTTATGCGTTCTCAGGTCAAAACCAAGAAGTCTAAACCCTAAACCCTAAACTCTAACCCTAAACCCTAAACCCTAAACTTAAACCCTAAACCCTAAACCCTAAACCCCAAACCCTAAACCCCAAACCCTAAACCCTAAACCCCAAACCCTAAACCCTCAGATCCGGCCGTCTTCAGGTGAGGATGGATCCCTGCACCTCTGGGCACTTGAGCGCCTGGGGCCCTGAGCTTTTCCTTTTACTCCGAGCTTAGGGTTTAGGGTTTAGGGTTTAGGGTTTAGGGTTTAGGGTTTAGGGTTTAGGGTTTAGGCTGAGCGAGCATCAGGGACTTGATCAAAGAATCATGTGGCGCTGGCTTGGTGCCCTCATACATCTACTCTCCAGAATATAAACCCTAAACCCTAACCCTAAACCCTAAACCCGAAACCCTAAACCCTCAACCCTAGACCCTAAACCCTCAACACCCACGCTCCGTCCCATGGTAAGGCCCACAGCCCTTCCAGTTGGAAAGCCCGTCTGTGGAGGCGTGCGAAGCATTTAGGGGTTTAGGGGCTTAGGATTTTAGGCATTTTGGGGTTTAGGCTGTTAAGGGTTAAGGGGTAAGGGTTAAGGGTTAAGGGTTCAGGGACTCAAGATTCCGGGGATGTTGGTCCAACCTTGGGCGCAATGTCGTGCAATTTCAGCCTTGCTTGTCTAGCTTTTGCATCTTCTACCTCCCACGACTCGGATGGACATCAGCGCCTATGCGCTCAGCAGATGCGCTCAGCAAGATGCACCTGAAGCGCATGCACACATGCGAGTTTCCGAAATTCGGGCACATTAGGGGTACCTCATTGACTATTTGGGGTCGATATTAGGGGTCCCTTTTATTTTCGTAAAGCCCCACGTATACGCATCCATTTGAGCATTCACAAGCTGCTACTCCGAAGCTGGGCTCAATCCAAGTAGCGGGCCGCGGATTTGAACCGTGCGTGGCCCCCAGTGGCCTCACGAAAGGTGACGATGCAGGTTGTATACGCTCAAAAAAAATATGTATATGTATATGTGTATATATATATATATGCACGGCATACACATGTACATATACACATACATATAAATTTAAATATAAGTATAAATATAAATATAAACAGAAATAAATATAAATATATTACATACTATATAGTGCACTATGGAGCGTTCAGCTGCACTGGGCATCAGTGCTGACTTCGTAGCCAGTACCCTCCTGGAAGTCAGCTAAAGGTCGCACAGATGGCACCCGCTACCACGTGGCCCCGCGCTTACCACGGCCCTGCAAATTTGCGCCATCTCGCAATCCAGTTGCCCTGAGCTTGCGGGACAAGAATGGTCGCAGTTTTCCTGATGGACCAGCCCCGGGGGGGCCAGAAAATACTTGTCACCCAAATGCAGGTGAGAACAGTTGACAACGGTTTCATCGGGAGATTGTGATCCCTACAAAGGGGCAGGTGCTCAGCGAACTCTCGGCTACACCTAGAGCTCGACTGGCTCCGAGTGGATTTGATGTTGGGGAAGTGCCTGGAGAGGTTCGTGGGTACAAGAAGGGTTACAAGTAGGGTAACTATGGGTATCACCTGATTAAGGGTACTTGCCCTAAACCCTATGCCCCTATCGAAAACACACCCATGAACACCTGGAAGTGGCCCAGGCCATTGCAGCTGATTGTCATTGGGTCGATGCTGGGGCTGGTAAGTGCCTGGGATGCAAGAGGGGCGGTCCACAGGAGCACGCGACTTCCAGCCGCCAACATAGGGGCCAAAGAAAAGCTTAGATGAGCCATATTTTTTCGGGGTTTGGGGTTTAGGGTTCAGGGTTAGGGTTTAGGGTTTCGGGTTTAGGGTTTAGGGTTAGGGTTTAGGGTTTAGGGTTTAGGGTTTAGGGTTTAGGGTTTAGGGTTTAGGGTTTCGGGTTTAGGGTTTAGGGTTTAGGGTTTAGGTTAGTTGGAGTTGGGGTTCGGGCCACCAAGGCACAGTGTAGAGCCCAATGTGAGGCCAAGTCACCTTCATCGCAAGCCAGCCAAAGATGCCGGACCTCCGGCAGCATTTGAGTTCGGGTTTAGGGTTTAGGGTTTAGGGTTTAGGGTTTAGGGTTCAGGGTTTAGGGTTTAGGGTTTAGGGTTTAGGGTGTAGGGTTTAGGGTTTAGGGTTTAAGGTTCAGGTGAACCTTTGGCTTACGTGTTGAGAGCCATTCCCCGCCTGCTGGGACGGTGGGGGTTGATCTACATCACCAAAAGGCCGTTTTGGTACCCTAAACCTGGGGTTCAGGGTTTAGGGTTTAGAGTTCAGGGTTTAGGGTTTAGGGAGCCCCCATCAACCCTAAACGCAAAACCCTCAACCATACACCCTAAACCCTAAGCCCGCAAACCCTCCACCCTAATTGAACAAACCCCAAACCCCAAACCCCAAACCCCAAACCCCAAACCCCAAACCCCAAACCCCAAACCCCAAACCCCAAACCCCAAACCCCAAACCCCCCCAAACCCCAAACCCCAAACCCCAAACCCCAAACCCCAAACCCCAAACCCCAAACCCCAAACCCCAAACCCCAAACCCCAAACCCCAAACCCCAAACCCCAAACCCAAAACCCTAAACCCTAAACCCTAAGCCCGAAACCTTAAATCCTGAGGACCGGACTGCTTCGGCCTTGCGACGAGCACAGGCCCGGAGGGTTTAGGGTTTAGGGTTTAGGGTTGGGGGTTTGGGGTTTAGGGTTTAGGGTTTAGGGCTTTAGGGTTTAGGGTTTAGGGCTTCAGGGGGTTCTTAAGGGGGGGGGGTCAAAGCGGGGCCTAAAGGGGCGCTTCACGAGACCAAGCCGGATCTTCTTATTTGGAGGCATAGGCATCAAAAAAAAAAATACTAAGCATCAAAAAGAAAAATAATAGGGATCAATAAAAAAAATAATAGGCATCAAAAAAAAATAAGCCATCCGGCCCACCTGCGTGGTCCTCTGGTCCCGTGGTCCTCTGGTCCCGTGGTCCTCTGGTCCCGTGGTCCTCTGGTCCCGTGGTCCTCTGGTCCCGTGGTCCTCTGGTCCCGTGGTCCTCTGGTCCCGTGGTCCTCTGGTCCCGTGGTCCTCTGGTCCCGTGGTCCCCTGGTCTTGTGGTCCCCTGGTCCTCTGGTCCTCTGGTCTGCTTGTCTGTCCGCCTGGTCCTGCGGGTCCTATGCGTATAAATAAATAATTAAATTAGTCAAATAAGTAAAAATCAATAAATATAAATATGTATTATATACACACGATAGTGAAGGTCAACATGTGTGTATATATATGTATGTATGTATGTATGTGCATATATATATATACATATTACATAATACACATTACATTACACATTACCTATTATAAATTATACATTTATATATTATATATTTTATATTATATATTATGTATTATGTATTATGTATTACGTATTCTGTATTATGTATTATGTATTATGTATTATGTATTAATTATGTATTATGAATTCTATATTATGTTTTATGTTTATGTATTAATTATATCCTTTATCTTTTATATGTTTTGTATTATGTATTCTGTATCATGTATTATGTTTATGTATTTGTATTAAGATCTATATTTATTTTGTCGATGTACAATGTATTTTGTATTATATATTATATATTATATATTATATATTAAATATTATATATTAATATATTATATATCTGTTATACTAATATATATATATCATATTAAACTATATCATGTTTATTATATTACACTTATACTTATATATATACATATATATTATATATATATCCATTTGTATTTTATATTTAAATATTTTCATATGGTCGTACATTATAATGATATGTGGATGCATATAAATAAGTAAGTTAAATATGAATAAATAAGTAAACATAAATAAATATAAATAAATATATATATATTTATATATATCGCATATTGTATATTATATGTCATATATTGCATATCATGTATTGTATATTGCATATTATATACTGCATATAATGCATGATATAAAGTATATAATATATAATATATACTGTATACATAATATACAATATATAAAATATATAATATTATTTATTATTAATGAATTTATTATGTATTATTCATTATATAGTCTATTTTATGTATTATGTAGTATGTATTATATATTGTTCTTTGAAGCCATTGGAATGCAAAGAAAATGGACGTTTTTTGCTTAAAACATGTAGAAGTAGAGTTTTTCCGATGGAAACATAGAGATAATAGAGGATTTCTCATGAAAACGTGAAGACAGTAGACGTTTTCTTGTGGGAGTATGAAGAAATAGAGGTTTTCCCATTGAAAGATCGAGAAACTAGAAGGTTTTCCAACCACTACCACCACTTCTACGCATCGTGCGAACATTGTTTGCAAATGGGGGGGGGCTGCGCCCCCCCCAACCCCCCCGCTGTTTTTTTTAAGCTGTGCAAAGCGTGCTGCAAAGCCAAGTGGGGGGGTGTGGGGGGGGGGTTGGGGGCTGCGCCAACCCCAACCCCGCCGCGTTTTTATCAAGCTGTGCCACTGCAAAGCGTGCTTTATGAATCTTGTTGAAGCCATTGGGATACTAAAAAGTTTAAGTTTTTCTTAAAATACATGCAAATAGAGGTTTTCCGATGGAAACATAGAGATGATAGAGGTTTCCTATGAAAACGTGAAGAAAATAGAGGTTTTCTTGTGGGAATATGAAGAAATAGAGGTTTTCCTATTAAAAGATCGAGAAAATAGAAGGTTTTCCAACCACTACCACCACCCACTACTACCCATCGTGCGAGCATTGTGTTTGCAAATGGGGGGGGGGCCCCCCCCCCAACCCCCCCCCCCCCCCCCCCCCCCCCCCCCCCCCCCCCCCCCCCCCCACCCCCCCCCCCCCCCCCCCCCAACCCCCCCCCCAACCACCCCCCCCCAACCCCCCCCCAACCCCCCCCCCCCCCAACCCCTCCCCCCAACCCCCCCCCCCCAACACCCCCCCCCCCGCTGTATTCCAAGAGGAAAATGGGTTATTTTTTTTTTTGATGCTTATTTATTTTTTTTTTGATCCCTTGGGGTTATTTTTTTTTTTGATGCTTATTTATTTTTTTTTTGATCCTTCACCCTTATTTGGATTCCTCGGCTCTGAACGTCTTGGAATCCGAAGCCCCCGTGTCCTAAAGCCGCAACCCCAAACCCTAAACCCCCCACCCCGCCCCCCCCCCGTCTAGGGTGTATGGGGTCTCGGGTTGAGGGTTTATGGGGTTTAGGGTTTAGGGTTCAGGGTTTACGGTTTCGGGTTTCGGGTTTCGGGTTTCGGGGGGGTCTAGGGCCCCGAAACCTCCCAAACTCTGAACCTTAGGAGAGTGCGGAGACCGATGGCCCGTCGGACATCGCGAGACTGGAGGACGTGGTCGAGGCGCAGCAGCTTCTTCGCCCATCTTACTCTTGGTGAGTAGGGAATGAGGGAATGAGGTACCCGATATCCCCCTATATATGCCCTTTAAGGGATTATGTGGGGTACTTCATTCCCCCAGGTGCCTCATTTCCTCAGGTTTAAAGGGTCTAGGTAGGGTTTAGGATGATCGCTCTATCTTAGGGTAGTTGCAGGGGTCTTAGTATGGGCCCATAACTTTGGAAACCTTAGATACCCCTGAAAACATGCCCTGATAGGCCCCAGAATGCTCACAAAAGGGTACAGCGATGTGCGGAAACGCCGTAATACATCTCTACTGCACAACCTAAGCTCTAAACCGTAAACCTTAAACCCTAAACACTAAGCTCTACATCGCCCCCCCATAGGTGCCTTTTTTTGTGGGCCCCGAGTAGATCGTGTGCATACAACAAGAATATGACAGCAGGCCATGAATATACATGTTGGAAACTTCATGGATGTGTATGCCTTAATCATTAATCTATGTATGAATATATACATATATGTGCACACACACACACACACATATATATATATATATATATACATATCACAAACAGTATAAACACGTATAAGAAAATGTACAAGCACATGCACATAGATACACAACTATCTAACTGTACATCTAACACACACACATACACACATACACACATACACACATACACACATACACACATACACACATACACACATACACACATACACACACATACACACACATACACACACACACACATACACACACATACACACACATACACACACATACACACACATACACACACACATACACACACACATACACACACACATACACACACATACACACACACATACACACACACATACACACACACACACATACACACACACACACACATACACACACACACACATACACACACACACACACACACACACACACACACACACACGCACAGTTAAATCAAACAGACGCACACACACACACATGCATATATATATATATATATGTCACATCATCCCCATGTGGGGATTAAGGGTTTAGGGTTGAGGGAGCAGGTCTGGGGTTTGTTTGGAGGTTGATGGGTACTTCTAGGTAGGATCATACGTACCCTAGATCAGATCATAACCATAGTTACCCTACTTAGAACCCTACTTGTAAGTGCCCTTAGGATTAGGGTTTGGGGTTTAGGGTTTAGGGTTTAGGGCTCCAAGTACGGTTCCTTCTTTTTCTCCGATCGGTGATTTCGTACTCGCCTAGGCGCTGCGCAAGGAGTCCTTGGAGGCCTGGCGCCAAATTTTCCTTTAAAGGGGGCTTAGGGTTTAGGGTTTAGGGTTTAGGGTTTAGGGTTAGGGTTTAGGGTTTTATGGATTCACGGATTGGGGTTGAGGGTTCAGTGGCCCGTCCTGAAGCCCTCGGCTTCCCTGAATTTTTTTTGGGATTTAGGGTTCAGGGTTCAGGCTGTCGGAGTTTAGGGGAGGTAGTGGGGTTTTCTGGCGCAAGGAGGGAAGAGAAACACGCAAGGGTCAACCAGCACCTGAGGGCATCTCAATCAACCTTTCGTAATGCAGTATTACAACCGTACGATAGTATATCAAAAGCAGTAACTATTATGTAAACAACGCAATGTATATATTATACAGTATATAATGAAGAATATATATATATATATATATATATCTGTGTGTGTAATACATATATATATATATGCATATATAAACATGTGTATGTGAATAAATCATAGCTCACCCACCCTCCCATGACACGCGCCTTTTGTGGCTGTCATGGTGGCGGTGGGTCAATAGTCGAAGACTCCAAAAGTCTGAAATCTGAAAGCCCAAGAGTCCAAGATTCTCAGGCGTATAGTCCAAAAGTCCAACAGTCCAAAAGTCCAAAAGTCCAACAGTCCAAAAGTCCAAAGTCCCTAAGCCGGGGCTGCGGCGAGGTTTTGAATTTTGAGGACGGCGTGGCATGGGCATGTGGGGGGGGGGGGGGGGGGGGGGGCGGTGACCATATACATATGTATATATATATATAATATATATATATATATTTTTTTTTCTCTATACATATATGTAGTGTACAATGTATATAGTAGATAGTATTGTCCCAAACCATGTTTAGCTGGGTTTGTGTGAGGGGGTCTCGCAAGAGAGGCGTGTCTGTCTGCTTCGGACAATGATCCTGAAGCCGTGGAGCCCGAGCCTCAAGCTGATGCGTGCCTCAAACCCTAAACCCTAAACCCTAAACCCTAAACCCTAAACCCTAAACCCTAAACCCTAAACCCTAATCCCTAAACCCTAAACCCCTAAACCCTAAACCTGTAAACCCCTAAGCCCTAAACCCTAAACCCCAAACCGGAACCATTCAGAAATCTAGGCGGTGCCGAGTCCTCAGCTACGAGCTGAACTCTGCAGAGCAGCTTCTCTTCAAGCGCAGGGAGCCCAACAGCCGCGCTGTTCCCAGAGACTCCAATACCCCTAAATTAAGGAATATTCCTTAAAGCATAGGAGAGTTCCTCATATGGTTTAAGCATGTTTTAGGAATATTCCCTAATTAAGGGGTATTGGAGCCTCTGGGTTCAGCTCAGCTCCAGGACCTAGGTGTGTACACTGCTGCAAGGATGTCGACGGGAAGAGTTTGCTTGCCTTTTGCAGCTTGCATGAGCCCACGATCTGTCCTTCAGCTGCAGACTGGCCCGATCTGGCTTTGTCAGAGAGGCTATGCCACGTTTTTCTTCATGACATGGCAGGGTGTGGTTTTACGTAGTAAGGCGATGATTGCTACGGCATGTTGGGAGGACGTCCTGGGGCTGAGCTGTGGGCTGGTTGTGTCCCTTTTGAACTGAAGCCCAGCGCAGCCATGGATGGCCAGAAGGGTCTTGAATCGGCTCTCTCATTCCGTGCTCTTCTGCAAAAGTTGCAAGAGCAACACGATGAGGAGGCCCGTGAATATGGGCCTGGCGCAAGCATTCTGTTGCGGCAGACCCACTAGCGGTATACTGGGCCCACTAGCTGCCACGATGTCCGACGAGAACTGCTGCCGCTGCCTGCACGACCCGGACGACAAATATACTTTTACTTGTAAATTATTTACTATCGAAGCTCAGCAGCGCAATACCATGAGCCTGGAGACTCAACGTACCCGGGAACTAGTCTACTCGTAGCCGAGGCATGTGGGCCCCACAGTGGTTCATCAGAATCGACTTGGGCTGGGAAGATACCCTAAACCCTAAACCCGATGTTCTTAGACCTCAAACCCCAAGCCCTGAGCCCTAAGCCCTAAACCCTTAACCCTAAACCTAAACCCTAAACCCTAGTGTATGATCCTTTCCTTCGCTATCACCCCATGGAGCCCGTCGCGAAGTTTCATTTTGATTGAACCCAAACACCGCATCAGGGCATCCTGCCTGAAAAACTTTCTCTTGGCAGGTGGCTGAGCTGAACGCCAAAATTCAGCATTTGCAGGCGCCGTCACGGGGATCACACGTAGAGGACACATAGCTTGCCTGAGGTGTCATCATTGAAGTGCTCTCTAGCTATGCCGACCCATACCTGTCTCGTTCTTGTTCTGTGCCCTGTGCCTGCATGAACCTGCTAGCCCTTCATGTGCGCCGTGACTTGCTCCCTACTGCCACCGCCCCCAAACTTCCCCTCGCTTCGCAGACCCAACGCCCCCCCCTTGCATGAGCACATGCCCGCACTTCACTGGCATGTCATGGACCTTTCCCATGTTACTTGGTCTGCAAGGCTGCTCATGATGGAAAGCCTCCTTCCATCTCCGACAATTCTACCGAGCTGTCGCCGAAGGCACTTTGAAATGCCGGCAGTGCAGGGTTTACGCTGCTTTTGATCTGGTTCTGTATTTGAGTGCACCTACCTGATCGGTGCTGTATTTGAGTGCGCCGCAGCAGCATCTTCAGAGACAACCGTTCCTGCATTCATAGTGAGCACTGTCACGCCATTATGTTAGCGCTACCATGTAATGACATCAGGCTTCATTGTTGACTTCCTGGGTTGCAGGTTCTGTGTCGTTGTCGTTTCTTGGGGCGACCATCGGCATAAGTGAATGATTCTGGTCACCTCGCTTCGTCGATGCACTCTACGTTGCAGTAAGGGAACCGTCTCCCTTCAGTTTTTTTTAGGTCGTCAGGTTCATTGTGTTTTGTTGGCCTCCGCCGGGAAGGGTAGCAGTGGCCCTGTGTTTCTCATGCAGTTGAAGCCCTATGATCCGCCCCCCAAAGCCCTCAAAACAGGTGTGTGGGATTTTTCTCACAAGAAAGGGTGCCCTATGAGGTGCTTCTTCCTATCGTAAGAATTTCCGTATGCTCGGGCATACTTAGGGTTTGGGGTTTAGGGACTAGGGTTTAGGGTGGAGGGTGTAAGGAGGGGTGCCCAAATTTTATAGTTACCCAAATGTACTCGCCACTGACAGGCGACATTGGGCCCCCGCGTGGCTCGCCCATCCCCAATTTCAGCGACAGGCGGCAAACCCGTGTGCTCTGCACACGTGGGGGAATTCCTGGGCAGGTCCTTGGGTTTGGGGGTTCGCGCTAAGCTTTAGGCCTAGGTTCATCATGATCCTTCATAAAAACCCTAAACCGTAAACCCTCAACCTTCAACTCCCAATCCTCAACCCTCAACCCTCAACCCTCAACCCTAAACCTTAAACCCTAAACCCTACACCCGGGAATTTTTTTCAGGGGCCCTCATTGGTGAGCTGTTGGTGAGACTCCGTGTGCTACTCCACTCCTCTCGAACTCACTCAAGTAAAGCTTTATGAGGCTTCTTAAGGGTTTAGGGTTGGTTTAGGGTTTAGGGTTCAGGGCTTCAATGGGCTATGTAAGGACAGGTTGGTGAGAGCGAAGCTTCAGCAAGAATCTGTTGCACGTCGCTTCCTACAGGCGGGAGCTCTCCAGGCGAACAGCTTGTCCCGAAAGAGTACGATGCCTCCGAGCTGACTTAGTCATGATGGCTGCACTCCCTGAAGCCCTGCACCCTACACTCTGCTCCTGGCCCGAAGCCCTAAACCCTAAACCCTAAACCCCAAACCCTAAACCCTAAACCCTAAACCCTAAGCCCTAAACCCTAAACCCTAAACCCTAAACCGCTTCTCAGCTTTCTGCTGAGGTTTCCGAGGTGGCCACGCCCAGGTCACCAAAGCCGACGGGTGACGTCCAGGAAGGGAGCGCTTGCACAGGCTTTGGGTTTAGGGTTTAGGGTTTAGGGTTTAGGGTTTAGGATCTAGGGTCTAGGGTCTAGGGTTTAGGGTTTCCAGGATTCACTACGTCAGAAGCACGAAAATATCAGAATCTCAGAGCTGAAACAGCACAGGGGGGGGGGTAAACTCCTTAATTACACGAATCCTACTTACGCGAATCCCGAACATCGGTCGCCGTTCTGCGCCGAGAGCCTTCACATTCACTGCGCGTGGTTGCCCCAGCAGAATCATCCGGGGTTTACGATATTAGGGGTACCTTACAGTATTGGGTCATGATTCTAAGGGGATCCTACTATTTGGGGATCTATGTTGGGGGTCTCCTTTTTCTCGTAAACTTTCAAGACCACCCTAAACCCTAAACCCTAAACCCTAAACCCTAAACCCTAAACCCTAAACCCTAAACCCTAAACCCTAAACCCTAAACCCTAAACCCTAAAGAGCAACACCAGGACGTGGTCTCCGTCGAAGGCGAGGGTGGCGACTTCGGGGGAAAGCCTTTCCCGAGTCTGCCAAATCTGCAGGCCTGAAGCTTCAGGGTTTAGGGTTTAGGGTTTAGGGTTTAGGTCTTCTTGGGGGTTTGCAACATCAGGGGTATGTTATGTGGGTCCTTATTTTACAAGGGAATCCTACTATTTGGGGGTCTATATTAGGGGCCCTTGTTTTTCGTAAACCCCCTCTTCCCCCGACCCAAGACGTTCGCTGACCCGGTTCTGCCAAGGAACCCAAGCAGAAACCCCAAAATCCAAGAGGCCCAATGCCCCAGATCCCAAAGTCCAGGACCCGTTTGTCGAGCCTCCCAAGATCTTGATGCCCCTGCAGTTGTCACGTTGTTTTGACTCTGTCACGGCCCTTTGAGGGTCTCTTTGTTCAAAATACGACCTTCTGGTAAGTATTTGGATTACCTGATTTCCTTTTTGCTTTTTGCTCCACGCTTGAGACAGCCGGTCATATTGCCCCTCCAATGCCCTGATGGAATTGCTACTATGATTAGGGCTATTTTATATTGCTACTGAAACAATTATTTTAGCCATTTCCATTATTTTTACTATCACAACGTTTATGTCCGCACGGACCCCAGCAGTGAGAGACCATTGGGGCACGAAAGAGCACGCCAATGGTCCGACAGCACGTGGGTAGTTCTCTAAATTAGGGCCACTGTTTGGGTCCTTGCTGTTTATAGGCACCCCAAAAGGACCCGAATTGTAGAGAACTGCCCAAGTGCAGCGTTACGGAACACTTCAAGATCCATCGGGAAGTCGCCGGGCGCCTTTGGGCCAGATGTAGCTTGCGTCGGCCTGGAGGTGGTCGGCTAAGACAAGGCCGGAGTCTTTCACCACGCCGAAAGTGTCCCATGTTGCTTGCGCAGACGTCCAACGAAAAGCGATCGACCATTTGGCATTTCGCGAACACAGACATCGAAAGCAACGGCGCCAAACAGTGACGACAGTTTCGAAGACGGCACGGGCAGAGGCCGTGCCGCGAGTGCCGGCCGTGGGCGCCGGCCGTGGGCGCCGGCCGTACAGACTTACCCCCCCCCCCTTACTCTACACGTTCAAACTTCATAGTGTTGACAACTGTTTGGGGATGTGCAGTGTATATTCTTACTCTTATTGCCATTGTTGTTTTGGTTGTTTTCTTTGCTAGTATGAATTTGTTCTTGTTCTTGTTGCTGTGATTGGCCCGCACGCTCTGTAAACGCGCGTTCAGCATATGCCGATTCCATCGGTATTTACAGTGTTTCGTGTGCTTCACATGCCGAAAACACCACTGCCACCGGTGATTCCGGCTGTCCACTTTTCACGTTTCTGTACGTGGCTGAAACATCGGTATTTACAGTACTTCGCGGCGCTTACATGCGGAAAACACCGGCATTTACGGTGTTTCGCGTGGTTGGCATGCCGGAAATGCTCACGTTTCTGTTTCCAGTCCGTGCGATTGGCCAGAGCATCCATGCCCGAACGATGATAACGTCCGTGTTAACAGTGCGTGCCATTGGCCAGAGCATCCATGCCCGAACGATGATAACGTCCGTGTTACCAGTGCGTGCGATTGGCCAGAGCATCCATGCCCGCACGATGATAACGTCCGTGTTTCCAGTCCGTGCGATTGGCCAGAGCATCCATGCCCGAACGATGATAACGTCCGTGTTAACAGTGCGTGCCATTGGCCAGAGCATCCATGCCCGAACGATGATAACGTCCGTGTTAACGTCCGTGTTACCAGTGCGTGCGATTGGCCAGAGCATCCATGCCCGCACGATGATAACGTCCGTGTTACCAGTGCGTGCGATTGGCCAGAGCATCCATGCCCGCACGATGATAACGTCCGTGTTACCAGTGCGTGCGATTGGCCAGAGCATCCATGCCCGCACGATGACAACGTCCGTGTTACCAGTGCGTGCGATTGGCCAGAGCATCCATGCCCGCACGATGATAACGTCCGTGTTACCAGTGCGTGCGATTGGCCAGAGCATCCATGCCCGCACGATGATAACGTCCGTGTTACCAGTGCGTGCGATTGGCCAGAGCATCCATGCCCGCACGATGATAACGTCCGTGTTACCAGTGCGTGCGATTGGCCAGAGCATCCATGCCCGCACGATGATAACGTCCGTACCAGTTACCAGTGCACGATGATAACGTCCGATTGGCCAGAGCATCCATGCCCGCACGATGATAACGTCCGTGTTACCAGTCCGTGCGAGTGGCCAGAGCATCCATGCCCGCACGATGATAACGTCCGTGTTCCAACATGTGTCCGTGCCATTGGCCAGAGCATCCATGCCCGCACGATGATAACGTCCGTGTTACCAGTCCGTGCGATTGGCCAGAGCATCCATGCCCGCACGATGATAACGTCCGGTTTGCCAGAGCATCCATCCGATGATAATACCATTGGCCAGAGATGCCCGCACGATGATAACGTCCGTGTTCCAGTCCGTGCGATTGGCCAGAGCATCCATGCCCGAACGATGATAACGTCCGTGTTACCAGTGCGTGCGATTGGCCAGAGCATCCATGCCCGCACGATGATAACGTCCGTGTTACCAGTGCGTGCGATTGGCCAGAGCATCCATGCCCGCACGATGATAACGTCCGTGTTACCAGTGCGTGCGATTGGCCAGAGCATCCATGCCCGCCTTGCCAAGGCTTTGAAGATCCACGGGGTCCCGCAAGTGACTGCGAGACATCAGCGCGATGAACTGACTCCCACGAAGCGTTTGCCAAGTCAGGAACTCACCTCTCACCAGCGACGCCTTGCTCAGAGACTGGCAGGACGCACCAAGCGCAAGGCCGCCCTTGCAGATGGCCAGGACTTCTTGTTAGTCGCCGGAGACAATGGTGCTGAAGCCGAGTTCAGTGCTTCGAAAGCAATGCTTCGTAGACAAGGTCTTTATGGCAGGGTTTCACCGGCCATGACGCACATAGTGACTTTGGCCTCGCAGCGCTTGCGTTCCCATCCGGGCCTGCTGGGAGTCCTTTCCAGCTTTCGTATATATCGCGACAGCCGAAGGCTAGCGATTGGGCATGCGCCTCATGCATTTTGCGACGCCAGACTGGATCGAGCATGGCTTTGGGAGTGAAACGCACTTGACACAAGCCTTAACCCTCAAGCCCTCAAGCCTAAACCCTTCGCCTCTTCCGACCAAAGCAGGCCAAAGTCCACCAAACCTCAACCCTAAACCCAAAACCTCCTTGGACGACCGCTGATACCCAAACCCTGTACCCTAAGCCCTCAGCCTGCTCCCAGCGAAGACTCTCTTGTAGTGGCGAGGGTTACAGGGTTAGGGTTGGGGGTTGACGGTGTCTGTGCGCTTGAGGGTTCCAGGTTTCTGAAGGGTATGTAGGCTTGCGCCATTTGCCGCCACGCCCGCTTTTCCTGTGGTTTTCCTTCGTCAAAACGAAGAAGTTGACCTGTCTGGGCTTCTTCGGTGGCTTCCACGCAGCCGCAATGTGCTGCTTTGTAGCCGTGTTTTGCCTACACACGCTGCTCGATCAGGAATTTCCGTCCGCAGCGCGTCCTAGCCAAAACGCTCATTTTTGACGGAAACATACACGGTTCCGTCACAAGAAAAAAACAAAACAAAACCGTTTTCACACGCTGTCCTTGAAGGGACAGGTGTGTTCCGTCCCACGCAGGCCACGCAAAATGCATTTATGCAACACAACCAAAAAGTACCCGTGCCCTAAACACGCTTCGCCGCGCGCGTTTACAAAGCGTGCGCGCGTTGTGATTGCTATATTGTTATTGTTTGTGATGTTTTTTGTTATTGTTATATTGTTATTGTTATATTGTTATTATTATATTGTCATTTTTTATTTTGCTATTGTTATATTGTTGTTGTTATGCTGCTCTTGGTATCCTTTTATATTGTTATTGTTAGATTGTTATTGTTATATTGCTATTGTTATGTTGTTGTTGTTGTTGTTGTTGTTGTTGTTGTTGTTGTTGTTGTTGTGTTGCTATTGGTATCTTTTTATATTGTTATTGTTAGACTGTTATTGTTATGTTGCTATTGGTATATTGTTATATTGTTATTGTTAGATTGTTGTTGTCAAGTTGTTATTGTGTTTGTTGTTATATTATTACTGTTATATTGTTACTGTTATCTTGTTGTTGTTATATTGTTATTGTTATATTATGATTGTTATATTGCTTTTGTTATATCGTTACATAGTTGTACCGTTATATTGTTATATGGTTATATTGTTATAGTGTTGCATTGTTATAGTGCTATATTGTTATACTGTTGTATTGGTCTATTGTTATATTGTTAGATTGTTATACTGTGTTATTGTTATATTGTTGTATTGTTCCATTGTTCTATTGTTCTATTGTTGTATTGTTTTATTGTTGTATTGCTATATTGTTATGTTGTTATATTGTTATATTGTTCTATTGTTATATGGTTATATTGTTATATTGCTATATTGTTGTATTGGCATATTGTTATATTGTTATATTGCTATATTGTTATATTGTTATATTGTAAAATTGTAAACTTGCTATATTGCTATATTTATATATTGTTATATCGTTATATCGTTATATTGTTATATTGTTGCATTGTTATATTGTTATACTGTTATATGGTTATATCGTTATATTGTTATATTGTTATATCGTTATATTTCTATAGTGTTATATTGTTATATTATTATATTGGTATTGTTATTGTCTTTTCTTATTCTTGCTGTTGTCACCGTTCATGCTATTATTGTTATGATTAGTATCCTTACTCGTATTACTGATATCACCAAAACAAGTGCCATTGCTGCTGGAATTCAGATGTGATGTTTGTGTTGTTGTGTGGTCAATTCCGGAAATTATGGTCCTGTTAGGCGACCCCTCTTATGTAGCGTACCCAAAAGGCCCTGAACCCTAAACCCTAAACCCTAAACCCTAAACGCTAAACCCTAAACCCTAAATCCTAAACCCTAAACCCATAATTTAGACACCATGTGCCCCAAGCTTTGTGGAGGTGCCGCCACAATCTCCTCAGCCAGCGGCAGTCTCCCCCGGCTCGAATATGCGTTCGACCACCGGCAGCCCCTTGGTTTAGCGTTTAGGGTTTAGGGTTTAGGGTTTAGGGTTTAGGGTTTAGGGGTTAGGGTTTAGGGTTTAGGGTTTAGGGTTTAGGGTTTGGGGTTTAGGGTTTAGGGTTCAGCAGCTCCGGATCGAGCAGGTTTATGGTAGTGTTATATTTACGGCTCGGATATAACACCCACCCACCCAGAGAATCCCATAACATTAAGAAACCATATAAAGTATCTTCATACACAAGTTCTTTTCAACGAAGACCACAGCTACAGAACAAATTCGTTCTTAAAAATGCGCATAGCGTCACACAAAGATGAGCACGAATTTCCGTGCTGAACCACGCCTTGCCCACTAATTCGTGTGCCCGAAAATTCGTGGGCAAGGCACAAAATTTCGTGGGCAATGGCACAAATATTCGTGGGCAAGGCACAAAAAGGCACAAAAACTCGTGGGCAAGGCACATTTTGGGGGTTTAAGCCTTGCCCACGGGCCCAAAAATCCGAAAACGTGCCTTGCCCACGAATATTTGTGCCTTGCCCACGAATTTTGGTGCCTTGCCCACGAAGTTTTGTGCCTTGCCCACGAAGTTTTGTGCCTTGCCCACGAAACCCATTAGGGTTTATATAAACAAATTATATATATATATAGAGATGTAGAAAGAGAGGTTTAGGGTTGGGTATAGGGTTTAGGGTTTAGGGTTTAGGGTTTCGGGTTTAGGGCTTAGGGTTTAGGGTTTAGGGTTTGGGGTTTAGGGTTTAGGGTTTGGGGTTTAGGGTTTAGGGTGTTTTTTTTTGTGTTTCCTCCGGGTTTATGGTTTAGGGGGGCTCTTCGGTGTTTTGTGTGTTTTTGGAGGGGGAGAATCGCACTCTGCCACAGAACATCTTCTTAACATGTACAAATAGACGACATGTCAGAAAGGTGGTGGCAACTGAGGCTTCTCGATCACATCGCCCAAGCCGAGCGACGACGAAGAAGAGGTGCAGTCAGAGAAGACACTTTAAGGTTTTCCGTTTGGATGTTCCCCCGTAAGCTAACAGCCCTTACTAGGGATTCTAAAATAGCGGGTACGAGAATCCGTATGAAGGACTTATCCCAAGTGTAGGGTTGGTTTAGCGTTTCCATGGGCTTGACGATTTTAGGGGTTTTAGGGCAGGGTATATACTAGGACCCAGAGTAGGAGCTCATTACCTTTAATAAGGTTTGGGTTGGGGAACATCCCAAGTTTTCCGGGTTCAACTATTCACAGAACCTGGTCTGCGGCTCGAGAGGAGGTCAGGATATAAGGTTGTACTTCATGTGTGCCTACTGATTCTTTCGGATGAGCCAGGAGGTCAGGAGTGTGTGAGGAATGTCCAATGAGGTTCGAGACCTAGTAGGCGCGGTTGGTCATTTCAAGTCTTGCAGTCGTACAGTGTCTGTTTGGCTTGTCGTGCCCCTGCTGCTAACAGTGTCACCGCCTCTCCAGGTTCCCTCACCCCTTCCTTAAATGGGGGTTGACGGGAATAAAGGACCCCCAATGTAGACTCCGAGTAGTAGGATCCCCTGATAGAAAGGACCCCAAGAAGGGCACCCCTAATATCGTGAACCCCCCAATGGATGTCTGCCTTGACCAGGCACCCAGAACGTTGCTCGAGAGGTTCAAGCGGTTTGTGCGAAGCGATATGTTCGACCTGGTGGTGGGCTTGTGTGTGACCGGGCATCACAAGGGAGTCACTCTTGTCGTGCAGAACTAGTTCGTCTTTCAGCATGCATGATGGGACGTTGACAGTGCTACAAAGTATGCTGGGCTATGACTGAACCCTAAACCCTAAACCCTAAACCCTCAATGATGGCTGCTAAGAGGTGACCTTGAACTTCTTCACCATGGCGATGGAGTTTGGGCCTCGATCATGTTCGGGGCGTGGTGAACTTTTTACTCTGAAATAGTACGGTTATTCTTACTACTACTAGAATTACAGAATTACTGTAGAGTTTCTCCATTTACCATTAGGATTTCAGTCTAGCCGATTTTGCATGCTGAGGTATCAATGCCACCCCTGAATCCTGCTGAACTACTTGGAGGTTCATGGTACTTAGTAACCCAGTTCTAACTGTACGTATAACCCAAGGAAAACTCTGTTAGGGCACTCAAGGGGCTTATAAGAGGGCTAGAACTACACTTGTACTTGGGTCATAAGTACCCTGAACCTCCAAGTACATGTTGGCCCTCAGGCACAGAACCAGGCTAGCACTTTACACATTATCATATTCCTGCAGCTCCATCTTGGCATGCATCCCGCGGCGGACGGCGAGCTTCCATACTGCTCAGGGTTTCGGGTTTAGGGTTTAGGGTTTAGGGTTTAGTGTTTGGACACAGATATATTCCGAGCAAGCCTGGCCATCGCGCCTTGAACTTGACCTACATGCACACACATACACACAAGCCGCTGAGGCTGCAGTACGAAGGCCTCCAGTCGGGCTACGAGCTGAAGATTCGCTTCTTTGACCAGACGGCGGTGGCCGCGTGGCCCTGGGCAGTGGATTTCTTTCAGGCCCCCGGTTTAGGGTTTAGGGTTTAGGGTTTAGGGTTTAGGGTTTAGGGTTTAGGGTTTAGGGTTTAGGGTTTAGGGTTTAGGGTTTAGGTTCCCTCTCCAGGAACCCAGCTGGGGTTCCCAATCCCTAAACCCTAGAAATCCCTAATGAATCCTTCTAGCCAATTGTGAGGTTCAAGAACTTAGTGGTCGTGAGCGCTATGCAGACACGCCAAAGTCAACCCAAAAAATTTGCGCGGTGCAGTTCGCATCTTGAGTTTTAGTAGACCAATCGAAACCACTATGGAATGTAGATCAACCCTCCCGCCCTACGCATGGTGTCGAAGGGCTGACCTGCTCCCTGCACATGATGCACTCGGCCAGGTCTGCCGCACCATCTTCCTCGTCTTCTTCACTTCGGAGATTCTGCTCAGGCGTGGAAGGGAATCAGTGGGGGAAAGTTTCGGAACCAAGACGAACTTGTTTCCTCACCTTGTGAGCAAGTTACCGAGTGAAGCCAGAACGCAGGGTCAGAGGCTAAACCACCAGGACCAACCCTCCATAACTTTCTGCTTCCAGCATGATGATCAGCTTTGAAAGGCACGGCTCGGCAATGTGAGTTCCATGACATGACATATCCCTACAGGGAGCGGGAAGTTTCGATGGTGACTTACCACGGCTATTGCTCCTGCAGAAAAGCTCTTGTAAACATTCTGCCCAAAAAAAAAAGCGCAAGGCGACCCTGTTTTTGGCTCAGGTTCTGCTTTTTGAGGACGGAGTTTTTCAAAACGCCCTTCAATGTCATCGACCTCCTCGCGCTGCTGGCCTCGATCGTGGAACTCTTCTCCTGGAACTTGCCCGTGGATCCCACCCTCCTGCGCCTGTGCCGTCTCGCAAAGCTCTTTAGGCCGGGTTTGCATCTTAGGGTTTAGGGTTTAGGGTTTAGGGGAATCAAGGTGTGGGTTCTTGCATTTCTGAGAGGCCTAGGGCATAATGGAGGCTCACAAGTGCGGGCAATTGCGGTCTGTAGCTGTACTCTTCGCCTCGCATCTTGAGCAACAAAGATGAGAGGACGATCCGCGTGCTGAAAGTTTCTGGCATGCTGGACTCGCTGAGCCTGCTTGCGAGATGACGCTCGCCCCAACCGTAAGGGTTTAGGGTTTAGGGTTTTGGGTTTAGGGTAAGATGTCACTCGCCATTGCTGCAGGACACATTCTTTAGTTGTGCCCAGAGTGGGACGGCACATGCGGCCATAACTTCGGACTCTTTGCAAGGGTTCAGGGTTTAGGGTTTAGGGTTTAGGGTTTAGGGTCTAGGGTATAGTATAGGGCATGGAACGCTTATGCACGATTTGGTAAGTTGCCCCACTGCTGAAGCACTCAAGCCAAGCAGCAAGAGCACGAGGCCCTCCCTGCGTGTCCTGTGCGGAGGTATGAGCTCCAGCGGACTTACCCTGGTCTGGCTCCTCACCTTCAAGAGTATGATATTCGTACTCTTCATGCTTCTCAACCATACTACCACGGTACCCTAAACCCCCAAACCCCAAACCCTAAACCCTAAACCCCAAACCCCCAACCCCAAACCCCCAAACCCCAAACCCTAAACCCTAAACCCCAAACCCTAAACCCTCAACCCTAAACCCCAAAAAGCCCTTCAGCTTCATGAGCTTGTGGTGGATGCCTACTCGTCAGCTCCCCGACCTAGCAGACGGATATCTGAAGGGTTGTGAGATCAAGGCGAAAGCCTAGCCCTAAACCCTAAACCCTAAACCCTAAACCCTAAACCCTAAACCCTAAACCCTAAACCCTAAACCCTAAACCCAAAACCCTAAACCCTAAACCCTAACCCCTAAACCTAAACCCTAAACCCTAAACCCTAAACCCTAAACCCTAAACCCTAAACCCTAAACCCTAAACCCTAAACCCTAAACCCTAAACCCTAAACCCTAAACCCTGAGCCTTGCAGCTCCACAGAGGTCTCTCCTGTTCCTCCTGGTGATCCAGCTCATAGCTGCCATGATCGTGTGCTACATGGTGCGGCCCTTCTTGGAGGATCCTTCCCAGGATGAGGAGCGGCGTCAGGAGGTCTACAGGTATTATGGCAGCTCGGTGTTTTTGAGGCCCCTAAACCCTGAACCCTAAAGCCTAGTACCCTGACCTCTGAGTCTCTGGGACTCCCCCAAAGATCTTTGGGGTTTTAGGGCTCAGACTTGAGGAAGTCAAGCCAACAAACGCGCCCCCGAAGCTTCGAGAAGCTTCTCAGGGCATCAGTGCAGCCTGAGGCTCCAGACTTCAAGGGCAGACGCAGGTCGGACCCACTATATGCCCAGCAACTATGGTACACTTCCCTGCTTAAGGGCATGCATTGGGATGTTCCCCCTTATACTAACAGTCCTCAATAGGGAGTATAGTGCACTAAACCCTAAACCCTAAACCCTAAACCCTAAACCCTAAACCCTAAACGCTAAACCCCAAACCCTAAACGCTAAACCCTAAACCCTAAACCCTAAACCCAAAACCCCAAACCCTAAACCCTAAACCCTAAACAACGCATACAGGGCCTTTTGTGTGGTAGATTGAACGAGAAGGACTTCCACGGCATGCAGAGGCCATGGCCATCTTTTATGTTTGGCGAACCGTAGGGCCCATTTAGGGTTTAGGGTTTAGGGTTTAGGGTTTAGGGTTTAGGGTTTCATTTGGAAGTAAGAAGATTTACTAGGATTTCTACTTTACGGCTTAGGGTTTGGGGCTTAGGGTTTAGGGTTTTTGTGAGCGATTTCGACTTTATTCGACTTCAAGATGTCGAAGTGCCCCCCCACTACCTCAGGTACTTTCACCATTGCGGTGCTCACTTTATTCGAGGCCGGAGCCCGGCCTGGTTTAGGGTTTAGGGTTTAGGGTTTAGGGTTTAGGGTTTAGGGTTTAGGGTTTAGGGTTTAGGGTTTAGGGTTTAGGGTTTAGGGTTTAGGGTTTAGGGTTTTTTACTCACAAACGGCCGAGTCGCTCCGACCCTCTACTTGGAGGTTCAGGGTACTTATAAGCCAATTTTCAGTGTGGTCGTAACCCACTTATAAGGCCCTTAAGCACCCTAACAGGGTTATACTTGGGTTAGAAGTACAGTTCTAATTGGTTACTAAGTACCATGAACCTCCAAGTAACTCTATACCTTGAACCCTCGACCCAAAGCCCTAAAAGCCCAAGAAACAAGCCCCAAGCCCACAAAGGACTTGTGTGAGGTACGGTGCCCACAGGCACTACGTTTAGGGTTGAGGGTTTAGGATCGTTAGTTTTTGTTTTGTTTTGTTTCGGGTTTAGGGTTGGGATGTTCCCCGTCCTAAATAGGGATTATAATTGGGCGTACTATAATCCCGATTATGTTAGTATAAGGGGGGAAACATCCCAACTTTAGGATGTTTAGGTGTTTTTTCGGGCTCCACTACCTTTCTCGCCTTCTCTCTTTCGCATGAGCGCTTAGCTGTTGACCTGCTGTGGGGCTGCAGCTCCGGATACAGGGTGCAGCCTGGAAATTTCGCGCGCGAGCGCTGTCAGGTTTTCTTTGCCAACTGGGCCCCGGCTTGTCGTGTGCTGGTAGAGAACATCTCTGAGTGGTATTCGCATCTTGGCAAAAGGTCCAGCCTTCATGGGGTTTTAGGGTTCAGAAGTTAGGGTTTTTGGAAGGTCCAGCCGTTCTTGGTATTCCCAGAGAAAGGGGCACCCATTCTTCTTCATAGTAGAAGCCGGTGCAACAGGAGCCTTTATTCCACATGGAGAATCTCCTACTCATGGCACACGGATTCCTGATGTTTTGCTTGAGACCTCCTCAGTTGGTGGCTTCTCCCAAATTATGAAACCCACCAAAATTTGCAGTACTCCTGATTCTAGGAGGCTCCCCCCCCCCCCCCCCCCCCAAAAAAAATGAAAACACACATAAAAAACATACAAACAAAAACTAACCCTAAACCCCAATCCTAAACCCTATTTCCTAAACCCTGAGTCCTAAACCCCCCCCCCCCCCACCCCAACAAAGCAACAAGGAAAAAAACAAAACAAAGAACAACGAAACAGGGTAAAACCCTATTGGAGGAGAGGCTCGGGGCTCCCATTCTGTAGCCAACCACAAAACACCCAAGGGAGTTTAGGGTTTAGGGCTTAGGGCTAAGGGTTTAGGGTTGCGCCCTAGACCCTAAACCCTAAACCCTAAACCCTAAACCCTAAACCCTAAACCCTAAACCCCAAACCCCAAACCCTAAACCCTAAACCCCAAACCCCAAACCCCAAACCCCAAACCCGAAACCCTAAACCCTAAGCCCTAAATCCATCTTGCCTGGAGTTGAAGCTCAGGCTCCTCTTCCTTATCTATCGATGCGGCATCGGCTTCGCCGTTATCAATGCAGCTTGCTCAGGGTTCAGGGTTCAGGGTTCAGGGTTTAGGGTTCAGGGTTTAGCGTTTAGGACTTCGGGTTTAGGGTTTAGCGTTTAGGGTTTAGGTGTACTGATTAACAGATTAACCAATTATAAAACTGTACTTGTAACCCCCCTTAGGTGCCCTAATAGGGCTATAAGTACAGCTAGGTTATGATTGGTGAGTAAGTACCATGAACCTCCTAGTGATCTTGCTTCGAGCTTGGTACTCCCGTCATCCCACAGCTGTTGCCACCAATGCCTAATAGGGTCCTAGGGTTGAAATGAACGCTTACAGCATAATGATCAAAGCAATACCATACTAGTTAATGAGAATAACTATCATGATAGTAAATAATAATAATAGTACTAACAATAATTTTATGTTTTATAATGACATTACAAAACAGTTACTTGTGAATATAGCAACGTAATGTGATGTAGAGTCTTTCTGTCGCGGCAGACGCGCCGTGACAGATCTTCTCGAGAGCGCCTGAGGTCGTCAATGCCGTGTTCGTGCAGCAAACGATGCAAGTCGCCAAAGGCGACGAGGAGGTTTTACTGTTGGAGAAGCAGAAGGCGGAAGAGAAGTACCATTTACCCTAAAACCTTAAACCCTAGACCCTAAACCCTAAACCCTAAACCCTAAACCCTAAATGCTGTTGGAGAAGCCGAAGGCGGAAGAGAAGTACCTGAAGAATGTGGCAAAGATCTTCCAGGCCCTGGACACTTCTGGGGATGGCTTGCTCTCGTGGGCCGAGTTCGAAGTCCTCCTTCAGGCTGGATACAACCCTTAGTAAGCCCTTACAGGCGGTTTAGGGTTTAGGGTTTAGGGTTTAGGGTTTAGGGTTTAGGGTTTAGGGTTTAGGGTTTAGGGGGACATATGGGATCACAGGTGTGATGCTCGGGTTGTTGAGGTGGCCAAGTTCCAGGATGCGAGACGCCCATGCTCTTGCGATCATCTGACTGTGTTTCCCCCTCCCAACCTCAACCCTAAACCCTAAACCCTAAACCCTAAATCCTAAACCCTAAACCCTAAACCCTAAACCCTAAACCCTAAACCCTAAACCCTAAACGCTAAACCCTAAACCGTAAACCCTAAACCCTAAACCCTAAACCCTAAACCCTAAACCCCCCTTCCCCCCAGGATCATAAGCTGAAGTTTCTCTTGGACAAGCTGGAGATCGCAGCGGGGGATCTCAAGACCCTCTTCGACCTCTTGGACGACACCGGCGACGGGGAAATCTCCGCAGCTTGCCTGACCAAAAGTCACCGGAATGGCAGTCGGCTTGGAATAATGCTAATAATAAGAATAATAATAATGAAAATCATAGTGATAATAATAATGAAAATGATGAAAATAGTCAAGGAAGTTGGGCGAGCTGTTTGGAATGAAGGCTCAAGCCCCACGCAGCCTCCAAAGCCTAAACCCTAAACCCTAAACCCTAAACCCTAAACCCTAAACCCTAAACCCTAAACCCTAAACCCTAAACCCTAAACCCTAAACCCTAAACCCTAAACCCTAAACCCTAAACCCTAAACCCTAAACCCTAAACCCTAAACCCTAAACCCTAAACCCTACACCCGAAACCCTAAACCCTGAACCCTGAACCCCGAACCCTATACCCTATACCCTATACCCTATACCCTATACCCTAAACCCTAAAACCCTAAACCCTAAACCACCCCACAACAGAGGTCCCCGAGTTCATTGAGGGCGTCACGCGCTTCAAGGGCACCGCAAGGAGCCTCGACATAGGCCAGCTCCTCCTCCGTAGCCGCCGTCTGGAGCGGGGCCTGACCAACTTGGAGATCTTCCTGTTGCCCGAGGAGAGGCCTCTTAGGATGGCTGTGTGCGGGTTTAGGGTTTAGGGTTTAGGGTTTAGGGTTTAGGGTTTAGGGTTTAGGGTTTAGGGTTTAGGGTTTAGGGTTTAGGGTTTAGGGTTTAGGGTTTAGGGTCCAGGGTACTTATAACCCAATGATACGTGTAGTTATAACCCAGTTCTAAGCCCCTTAAGTACCCCAAAAGGGGCATAATTGGGCCCCCTTGGGGGGGGGTTCGGGGCCGGATGTGGGTTGGAAGCCCGTGCGTGTCCCACCTTCGAAGTTTCAGGGAAATTGCATGAAACCACACCAGAGTTGAAGGGAGTGTTGACACAACATCAAGCTTTGGGGTGTGCAGCATCGTTCTGTTGATGATGCGGTGTAGCCGAGCGGTATCATGACAAACTGTCTTCAGAATGTCTTGCGTCGCAGGCACGTGGCAGGGTTAGGGAGTGTGCATGTGCACGTACAGAGGCGGGAGCGCGAATTCGACCACATACAACGGCACGTAGGAGGAGCATGATTTCGAAGCCAAATGCGGCACTTTGCGAGGCGCATGCGTGCGCACAGCCCGTGGCAGGAGCACCTTCCAAGCCCACGAAGAGACGACAGTTCCGCAGGAACGCCACCCCAAACGCGAGAGGAAACAAGAATGATGGACATTTTAGGTGGTTTGGTCTTGGGCTACATGGGCATCTCCCCAAATAGGGCGTGCTCCGACTATGAGCCCCCCAAATTCTCCAATCCTCAAAAACATCAAACCTTGCAAAAGGGTACAAACCTCGCAAAAAATGGGGTACCCTATTCTGTGATCTCATGCCCCAAGCTCTAAGCCCTGTATAAGAAAGAGGGAACGATAAGATGTTGCGTGGCAGGAGAAAAAGACCAAGTCCAGCCGATCCGGCACAGTATGATCCAATGAAGGCCCCTGCTTGCCCTATGCGTTCCAGGTTTAGGGGCTTGGGCGGGTTGAGGGTTTAGGGTTTAGGGTTTAGGGTTTAGGGTTTAGGGCTTAGGGTACCCAAGCTTTTTTGAGCCCTCTTGGGCCCGAAACCCCGAAAAGCCATGAACCCTCCGTCACGTCCCCAAGCTTGGGCGTTCGAGCACCGCAGAAGAGGATGCAGGAAGGTTGTGCTTGAGTTTGCTGGCAGGCCGAAGCCAAAAGAGGGGTGTGCAGCCTCACACAACTCCGCAGAAAGCAGATTTGAGACAGCCGCTTCTTGCAGAAGCCAGCTAATGCAACGTAGCCCTGCTACATTCTGTTAATTCGGAAGCCCCCTTCCGCGAACAGCGGTGGAGTGGGTAGAGGGACTCGGTCCCTCTCCCTGCTAGTGACTAATGCGCTGGGGTTTGGCGTCCGAGGACGCTGTTTTTCTCTTGTTAACACAGCTAATGCCGAGTTGTCCCCTGTTGCCCTTAAAGGGGGCTATGGTGGATGGCCGAGCAATGCTCGCACCCATGGATGAATCCATCCGAACGCAATCAGGCAGAGCCAGAGCGCATCAGCGTTTCACGTGGCCAAGTCCTCACCCGCCCTTGCTTTCCTAGGTTGGCTTTTGGGCTCTTCTATAATTTTTCCTTACTGGGGTTGAATAAGAGACCCTATAAATGTGTATACATATTTGCCTAATTTGGTTCTATAAGGGACCCTATCCAAGAATATTTTCCCAGGGTGCAAAGGCCAACCCTTACTTTCTCCCGCCCTGCGAAGAGGGGCTATAAGTGCCTTTCGAAGGCTCCGAGACTGCATTTGCCGAAGCAAAATCGCCGCTTGGGGAACCAGTGTCTTGGGAACCAAATGAACCATGAAAGCATGAAAGGGTTAATGGTTCATATACCTTTATAGGGACTATACTGGTAGAGGGTATATATGACCCCAATTGCTGACATGCAAGTGGGGCCGTGCAAGTTACTTCCATCTAAGTGAATGCTCGAAGCAGCTTTGTTGCTGATGAATCACTCAGGTCGACACGATTTCCGCTACATCGAGTCAGACAGTGTCTTGGCAGTGAGAGTTCAAAACTAAGTGAGGTCGAATAGATCTGCGCCAACACCCATTCAGGCTTGAATGCAGCAGCAAGTCCCTTGCCCGCCTTACCCGGCGTCTTCGTTTCACATCCCTACTACATCCCTGACCACGCAGGTTACTGAGCCGGTGACTGGGAATGACTCGAATTGGCAAGGAGCCAAAGGAATGTACATATGCATGCAGGCTTTGAACTGGAACATAGGTTCAGGTTTGGGGTTACTGTTAGTATTGCCATGCCGCATGTCTCTACGATCTTGCTGTTGCTTCTTATTTTCAGCCATCACGCCCCTACAACCTAAACCCTAAACCCTAAACCCTAAATCCTAAACCCTAAACCCTAAGCCCTAAACCGTATTTGTCATCTGCTTCGCAACGCTCGTTCTGAGCCTTCCCGTGGCACAGTGGACCACCTCACAGGAGCGGCCCAATTTGGATGTGAGGGTCAGGGTTTAGGGAGTTTAGGGTTTAGGGTTTGGGGTTTGGGTTTAGGTTTTAGTGTTTAGGGGTAATTATCCAGGATATGTGGGCTTCCACATATGGGGCTGAAAGGATAGTTAGGGTTTTGTACGGGCTATCGGGCTTATAGGCGTGCAGGGTCCAGACAGGATGGTTCAGGTTGATAGGTTTATAGGGCTGCGAGGCTTAGAGGGGTTCTAGGGTTTGTAGATTTGATGTGCAGCACTTTGGGGTGCATGGGCTGCTTGCTTCAACTTGGTTTTCATGTGTAGCTTGATACAGGCATAACAATAGTAGCAGCTCTCGTAAGAACATCCATGGCAGTGTGGAGCAATCATAAATCCTAGTGATGGTAACATGGAAAGCTGGAATAGCAATAGCCGCAACAACAGTACCCCCAAACTATAACCCTTATTTAGGACTGTGAGCATAAGGGCAAACACTAAACCCTAAACCCTAAACCCTAAACCCTATAGTCGTAGTGCCAAGCGTCGTGGGCGCTCCGGATAGGGTGGTGGTGACAGGCCGTCCCGGGCCGGGAGCCCTCAAAACGTGCGGAGATGCGCGGAGGGGGGTTTAGGGTTTAGGGTTTAGGGTTTAGGGTTTAGGGTTTAGGGTTTAGGGCCCTGAGGGCCGTTTTGGCACTGGCAGTGAGTGGGACATCGGGGTAAAGTGAAAGTGAACCCAACCCTAACCTCCAAACCCCAAAACCCTGAGCCCCAGCTTCTGTGTGAAGAGCTGCGGGTTGGGATCGCAAAGCCGAAACCCTAAACCCTAAACCCTAAACCCTAAACCCTAAACCCCAAACCCCTAAGCCCCTAAGCCCCTAAGCCCCTAAGCCCCTAAGCCCCTAAGCCCCTAAACCAGTTCATTTTGACGCCGGTGCCAAGGATTCTTCGTTTCAGCCCCCGGTCCGTTGGATCGTTGGTGGGCTTGGGTATGCAGCCGAGGGCTTCGTAGACTCATCAATAGAACTTTGGTTCTGCATTGGCTTACGTTGGGATCGTCTTATAGGCACGCGTAGCTGAGAGCAGCACTGGATGGGTTTAGGGTTTAGGGTTTAGGTCCTAGGTTTTCGGGTTTAGGGGTTTGTGTGTGGTACAATGTTGGATTCTTGCCGAGCCAAGAGCCCCACAGAAGTTGCAAATTACCGGCCGTGGAGCCATCATTTGCTGTGGCTTCTTGGCATGCACGCAGACAAAAAACTGGCCGCTGCAATCTCGGATCGGAAGGCTTTCTTATTTGAGGGCTGTTCTGGTCCATCGTCATCCGAGCAGATGAAGAATGAGCCCCCCCTAAACCCTAAACCCTAAACCCTAAACCCTAAACCCTAAACCCTAAACCCTACTAAACCCTCAACCCTAAACTTTAAACCCCAAGCCCTGTCTTGCGGGACTTCAAAGCTTGCAGGTGCGCGACTTCGCCCTGGCAGAGCTGCGAAGCTTTGCAATCAACGCGACGCAAGAGTATGAGCTGCAACTCCTGCCAGGAGCCCATGTCATGCAGGGTTTAGGGTTTGGGGTTTAGGGTTTAGGGTTTAGGGTTCAGGGTTTAGGGTTTAGGGCTTAGGGTTTAGGGTTTAGGGTTTAGGGTAGAGCCACGTAGAGCCATGTAGAGCCATGTAGAGCCATGTAGAGCCATGTAGAGCCATGTAGAGCCATGTAAAGCCATTGCTGTTGTCTCTTGGGAGGTCATTGCGCTGTGTCTGAGGTGGCTCGTGTGCCGCGTTCAACTTTTGGCAGGGGTCATGCAGGTACGTTTTGTCAAGCCGTAACCCATTCTTTTGTTAACCCCAAGCCCAAAACCTTCCCATCCAGAAGGTCCCCCCCCCCCGCCCCCCCGCTAAGGATGCATGAGGGCTTGGGGGCTTAGAGCTAGGGTCCTAGAATCCTAGCCCCCCTGCACCCCTAAACCCTAAACCCTAAACCCTAAACCCTAAACCCTAAACCCTAAACCGTAAACCCTAAACCCTAAACCCTAAACCCTAAACCCTAAACCCTAAACCCTACCCCTAAACCCTAAACCCTAAACCCTAAACCCTAAACCCTAAACCCTAAACCCTAAACCCTAAACCCTAAACCCTAAACCTAAACCCTATACCCTAAACCCTAAACCCTAAACCCTAAACCCTAAACCCTAAACCCTAAACCCTACGAACCTGGACGATGCTTTCGGCTGCTGGTGGCTTAGGCTGGCATATCCTGGAGCGAAGGATCCCGAGCTCTGGAAGTTCGCAGGCTCTGGAGTTTAGCCGTCCCGGTTTAGGGTTTAGGGTTTAGGGTTTAGGGTTTAGGGTTTAGGGTTTAGGGTTTAGGGTTTAGGGGTTCAGCAGCTCAAGTCCAAGCATTTCACTAGTAAATCGACCCACCCATTGGATCCCATAACATTATGAAAGTATTTTACCTCTCGTTTTAACCTTACCTAAGGCTCGGTAGGCCGTGAACCCTGGAGCCCAAGCCCAGCCGTTAAATAAATAAATAAATATAAATATAAATATATATATATATATGTAATAATAAATAAATAAATAAATAAAAAATATATATATATATATATTTATAGGTTAGAGAGGGTTTAGGGTTTAGCGTATCCCGTGTCGATGTGAGGTATCGGCTTCTGAAAGGCTCCATTCCCCCCTAAAACTCCAGCCTTTGCCAAAGTGCAACCCCGAACATCTGAGACTGACATAAGCCCCCCAACAGACCTCGCCCAAAGCACCCCCGCAGAGCCTCATCAGCGTGAGTTGGGGGGGTGGAGGGGGGTTGGAGGAATTAGGCCATGTCCTGTCACGCTGCTGGGCTTGGGGTCTGGATAGTCTTGGTTATAAGAGTTCGGGTGTTGCCAACATGCTGTTCGCAAAGCTCAGGGTTTTGAATACCTTTGATCCAAGTGTGCTAAGTATGCTTGCGATTGAGCCCGAGCCGCAGGCACCGTACCGACTGCTTCTCTGCAATTGATGCGACCTCTGTGGAATTGCCGCGTCATGGAGGCCCTTGCTCTGTCAAACAACAATCACCAACGCCGCGGTCAGCCCTCCCCAATAGCTAGCCTCGAGCTGTTTCTCCCTGCTCACTCTCTCTGTGTCTCTCTCCCTCTCCTCTCTGCCCCTCTCGCCGTCTCTTGAGACATGCCTGGACCAAGCCCTGGAAAACCACAAGCGCCCTGCAATATCCTCCGCATGGGTGGCGAAAAGAGGACCCAGTCGAGTCACTTACCCCCCTACCCCTAACCTTCATGGAGTTATAGGGCTCCAGCGCGCCCCGCGAACGCAAGGGCTTAGGGTTTAGGGTTTAGGGTTTAGGGTTTAGGGTTAATAGGGTTTAGGGTTTAGGGAGCCAGGAGCCAGGAGCCAGGAGCCAGGAGCCAGGAGCCAGGAGCCAGGAGCCAGGAGCCAGGAGCCAAAGCCCTCCAAGCAGCCAGGTTCTCGCG